GGCCGAGTTCCCCGTCGTTTCGCCCACAAGCTCCTGAACGGCATGCACGTTCGGAAATTCGGGGCGCCCCGATGAGAATGGGCGAAACAACCTACGTACATCCGCATGCTGTGCGTGATCGACCAGTCTTTCGCGCGCGCCGGAGCCGCGCCGACGCGCCCCAGGGCGTGTTGGGCCTCCTTTCCTTTCCTTCTCTTTCGCCCAGTGGCCTCCCGTCGTCGCCGCGTCGCCGCTTCGGTCGCCGGTGGCTTTGGCCAGTGCCTGCCCGTTGCCGCCTCGTCGCCGCCTCCGGACCGCTGGCGGTCTCGGCCGGCGCCTGCCCGTGGCGGCCTCGTCGCCGCCTCGGGGCCGCTGGCGGTTTCGGCGGGTGCCCGCCCACTGCCGCTTTTGTCGCTGCCTCGTGGCAGTGGCAGGTCTGCGCCCCGTTGCCGCGCGGGGGGCGCCCGTCGCCAGCTCGCCGCCGCCCTGCGCCCAAGAGATCTTGTTCCCCCAAAAAGACTTCGAGTCTCTACCCCCTCGCCAAGGCCAATCCGCGTACTCTTCAGGTTTATGCTGCACGATCGTTCATCCGAGACATAAATCTAGTATGCCATCCAGTCCTGGTGTCGACCCCTTCTCATCCCTGTCAAACAACATTCTGCGGTGCGCATGCGTTGATCCACGAACTGTTTGTCTGAAGGATTTCTTGCAATACATACGATGCGGTGCACATGCGCTCGCCGCCGCGCGCGCATGCCAAAATCAGCTGAAAGCCATGTGTTTCCCAACCAGGTCAAGACATACATGTTCATATACTGATAACGAACAAGTTGCGATCCAAGCTAAAGTTGCCATATTTCTGCGCTCGCATTCGCTGGACACATACGAATACTATAGGTGTCAGACGAGACTATGCAGCCAACACGCGAGCGGATGTCGGAAAACTTCACGAACCACCGCGCATGTGTTTTTCATCGAGATCGTGCCCTGCCGCTCATCATAATTATGACTCCGTGTTATTCTTGCCAGTTTCTTGTTTTACCCGTTACTCACGGTTGAGGAGATAATATGGGGGTCATTCGCTTGGGTCTTGCACTTGCATTCCCAGTGAATGCGTATCTAAAACCACCATGAGGGCCACACGTGTGCGCACGAGTGGGCTTCGTACAATAGCTATCACCAACTCGTGCTTCTACAGAAAGATGCAGCATCTCTGAGCGCGCCCACTACTTGAAATCGTCGGAATACATGTCTTGCCACTCTTTCAAATGGTATGCCGTGCGTGCCGCACTTGCGGGCATGGCGAAATTATTCAACAAACGTCGCGCACCCGCCGACTTTTGCAGACGATACCATGTGGACCACACTCGCGCCTCCCCCCCTCGCGCGCATGTCGAATTCATTGCAAAACCACTCGTGTGCGAAGTACCTCGAAATTGATGTTCAGTACGGTTGAACATGACATTGTTCCCCAAACAGTGTTTGCAATTAGGTACTTTACATGTGTTCTAAGGGAGTGGGCTGGTGTGGCTGTCTGGCTGCTATTTTGTCGCCTTCGCCGCCCTGTCGCCGCCTCGTCGCCGCCCGTCGTCTGGGCCGGTGTGGCGGTTTGGCGGCTGTGTTGTCGCCGTCGCCGCCCGTCGCCGCCTCGTCGCCGCCCCAGATTGCACAATATAGATTTTACCGCATACATTGCATCACACAGGTGCAACATATATTGCACCGCATAGATTGCATCACATGGGTTGTGCAATTGTGCAACATACACTGCATCACATAGGGTGCACAACACATATTGCACCACACATATTGCACCGTACATATTCCACCGCGTATATTACACCACAGACTGCAACACATAGCTGGCACAACATGGATTGCACCGCATATATTGTACCGGATGGGCCGCATAACCTACATTTTCCCACATAGGATGCACAACATATATTGCATCACGTATATTGCACCACATAGAGTGCACGACATATATTGCACCACATATGCTGCACCACTTAGAATGCACCACGTAGCTTACACGACGTAGATTGAACCGCATCAATTGCACCATGTGGGATGCGCAACATATGTTGCTTGCACCACATGGGTTGCGCAACATACATTGCACCACACATATTGCACCACATGGGTTGCACCACACCGATTGCACAACATATATTGCTATAGTCACACATTTGGGGGCTTACCCTGGCTAGCACGTTTGCATGCAAATTTTGCTCGAGTGTCTGCTCCCGAGAGTTTCTGATCATCCTCACCAGCGCCGTCGTCATGATCGTCGCTAGCGTCATCATTGCTATCGTCGTAACCACCGTCGTCTTCATCACCATCACCATCGTCATCGTCATCGTCATCGTCGTCATCGTCGTCCAAGTTGTCATAGCCACCACCATCATCAGCGTCAGCCTCATCGTCGCAGATGCCGTCGACAATATCATCACTCGCCCGCCCGAGTCGTGGATCTACATGATGAGGGTCGTCGCGCCAGATGAGTCGAGCATTGGAGTTGGCCGCTCCAAAGACTCCAAACATATAGTAACCAGCATGGATCCCAAACAGTGAGTGTCTGCACTGAAGAGATAAGTATACGCAGTGCAAGCAATGTTGTCTAATATGTTGTGTAAGCTTTGCGGTGTGAGCTACGTGGTGCAAGCTATGCTCTGTAAGCTTTTGCGGAGGCCTTCGGCCAGTGCCGCCGACCCTGAAGGCGGGACCGCCCCCTGGACCCCTTGGGCGACCCCCCTTGGGACCCGCAGGGACCCCAGGGGGGTAGTATTCTGGCACGGGACCCAGGACCCCCCCCTTCCCTTACCCACCCCACTCTCAGGGAAGGGATAAACCGAAGGAGTTTCCCTTCGACTTAACTACGACCTTCCTTTTCCTTGTTCCTCACTTGCTGCGGGACCGACAACGGCGACGACGACGACAGCTTCCTCCACACGCTCAATGGCTGGTGGACTTTGTGTAAGCTATGTTTTGTAAGCTATGTGCTATGTTGTGTGAGCTATATGGTGTGAGTTATGTTATGCAAGCTATGTGGTGTAAGCTACTTGTTGTGACTTATCTTGCGTGAGCTGTGTTGTGTACTAGATGTGGTGTAAGCTATGGTGTGACAGCCAAGCATTGGAAGCTGTGTGGTGTAAGCTGCTTTGTGTAAGCTATGTGGCGTGAGCTATGTAGTGTGAGCACGGGCGCCAACCCGGCGAACCACGAGGCGCCCACGAGCGGGCACGAGCGCCATTGAGGCGAAATCTGGGGAAACCTGCCCAGCGCACGCGGCGCTCACGAGGCGCCCACGAGCGGTCACGGGCGCCAACGTGGCGATAACCTGGGAAAGCCATCCAATTGGCTAAGAAAATCAAGAATTAACCCTTAAGGACAAGCATTGTTTGGGGAATTATTGCATGAAAGACTGGCACGTGGCGGATCCTCTGGACATCCCCACAGGCGGCAACGGGGGGCAACGGGCGGCAACTGGCTGGAACGTGGCGAATTCTCGGGACACGGGACGGGACACCCCCACAGGCGGCAACGGCCGGCAACGTGCGGCGACGGGCTGGAACGTGGCGAATCCCCGGGACACTCTCACAGGCTGCAACGGGCGGCAACGGGGCGGAAACAAGCTGGAACGTGGCGAATCCTCGGGTCACCGATCCACTTCCTTAAAAGCGCAAGTGAGAATCCGTAAGTGCTAGCACTGGTTGGGGAACATTTTGCCACGTAGACAGCACCACATACATTGTACCACATAGTTGCGCTACACAGCTCGCACCTCATAGCTTGAACCTGCTAAATAGATCACACATTTAGCGTGCAATATCTCACTTTCTGGGGCCCACCAAACTACCTGCTTTGTTTGGGCCCACCGCGCACGGCGGAAGCTTGAAGTCGTCCCTCCGACCTGTCCTGAAGCGCCGTTGGACCAGGAGTTCGAGGCTGCTTCTGGCCATGGCGACGACTGGGTCCCCCGAGGGCCACGAAGAGTGCAGTTAAGACGCTGAAGCAATGACCACTTTGGGTTCAGGCGGGGCTCCGGTTCGCGGGTTCTCAGCCCGTTCCTTAAATCCGGGTCGGGCAACCTGTTCGCGGCCGAGGCTCGCCGAGGCCAGCGTTGCTTACGGCAGCACGGTGACTGAGCCCCACATTGTTCGATAAGGCCCACCGCCCATGCCTCTCCGCCCAGCCCCACCCCCTCGCACGCCGAACACCGTCCCGCGCGCGCACGTCATCTTCTAGTCTCTGACGCGAGCTTCTCCTGCGCCCACTCCTGGGACACCGATGACATCGCAGCAGAAAGCGATTAGTAAGCAAAGCAACCTGGAGCAGGAGGAGGGTGAGGAAGGCAGCCTCCCCCCCTCCACCTCCCCCTTCTCCTCCTCCCCCTCCTCCCCCCCTCCTTTTGCTCCTCCTTCCTTCTCTTCCTCCTCCTTCTCCTCCTCCCTCCTCCTCCTCCTCCTCCTCCTCCTCCTCCTCCTCCACAATTACTCAATATGAATACTACTCTCCCTCTTCCCCTGATGGCGGTTTGAAAGTGGCCGACCCCCCCCCGCGTACTGTTTTTAACACAGGTTTCCCCGGAGTTGGGTTTTCGCCTGCATTTTTTTCCAAAATGCTGCTCTCGCTGAGGCGCCGGCCTCATTTTCGGGCCCCGCTCGTTCCGAATCGTGCTCCCGCTGCAGCGCTGGCCTCATTTCCGTGCTTCCGCTCGTTCCGAATCGTGCTCCCGCTGCAGCGCTGGCCTCATTTCCGCGCTTCCGCTCGTTGCGACTCGTGCTCACGCTGCAGCGCTGGCGTCATTTCGCGTGCCATGCCACGGCATGCAATGCAATGCTAGGTTGATATTACGCTTTGCGGTGCTCTTCTACGCCATGCCATGCCGTGCTCTACAATGCATCGCGTACCCTTTCGGGATCATTGCCCTGCTCGACATCCGACTGAGCGAGTAGAGAGGGGATCAGCACCATGGTAAGGGATGGGAGGGAGGGGTAGGATGTCAGATATGACGC